GGCCATTTTGGCATCATTTTGTGTGTATTTTAGCTGCTTAAATGCAACAAGCTGCGCTTTAGAGCCCTGCATTTCAGCACGAGCCCGACGGGCCCTGACTTATTTACGGCTTCGGGACAATTTTCACGTCATAGCTCAGACGCGGGCCTGGCATCGAGCTTGCTTACTCATTTTTATATTTTAGATATCCATCAATTATTATGGTGATGAAAAAGATGTGCCGCGCTGGTGGAAACAACACGAGACTGTGCTACCACGACTGTCAAGAGCGGCTCGGACGGTGTTGTCCAGCAGCAGCGAGAGCTGGAAGAGTTCCACATTAAAACGCACGCAAAGCTTGCCGCAAAACCCCAGCAAGTAATTACAATGATTAATGTGTCGGGGCCAGGGGAAATAGAATATTCGCAGAGTTTCGGCTCATTTTTGTGAAGCGCTCCTGCTCAAGACCGAGACGGCAGAAAGCGCATCCTGTTTGTTTTCTACAAAAAAGCACAACATATGCTGATATTGTGAGTGGACACAAATAAAAGTAGACCCTTAACAGTCCAGAATGATGTATTACTCTTACCTTTATGAGCAAAAAATACTGTTGTTTCCACTGTTATAAGAAAAAAATGCGAGTGATTGCGCTGGCGACTCCATGTCCTGCAAAGCGCACTTTAGCTTCTCTGCACAAACGATTGGATACGTGCCTAATAGCACACATTTATCTAGGTTAACCATTTAAAATAACATTGTGATATGCTTTTTTAAGTATTTTATATAGGCCTATAGATTTTATTTTAGTCAAGTGGTGATGTCAGAAGGCTAAATTGATCAAACATAGGCTATGATTAACTCACTGTCTGCCACTGGCCATTTAGTCGTTACTTAAAAAATGGCTACAACAGCAACTGTGTAATGGTGAAGAGAGAAAGCGAAAAAAGACACGGGGAGCCCGTGACAGACTGGAGCAGTCGGACTCGGCCGGTAATTCTGATAATCTGTCGGACAAGGGCCGGACTAGGGCATATGTTTGAGACCCGTGCAGGGTTCTACTGAGCTTGTTTGGTAGCAAACTCAATTTGGTACTCGCAAGGCGGCTTTATATACGCATGCGCGCTTTGGATGTGACTGCGCACCGCCTCTGGAGCGCGCGAGTACCGAATGGCTAAAAAAGACATGCAAATAAATAATACATTTTTGTGACAATGCAACAATGACCCGATTAGGCAAGTGACAA